TAGATAGATAGATAGATAGATAAATAAAATACATACACGTATTTCTTTTTTTTAAAGAGAGTGAGAGAGAGAATTTTAATATTTATTTTTTAGTTATCGGCGGACACAACATCTTTGTTTGTATGTGGTGCTGAGGATCGAACCTGGGCTGCACGCATGCCAGGCGAGCGTACTACTGCTTGAGCCACATCCCCAGCCCACATACACATATTTCTTCATAACATATATTATAGTGGAGCCAAAACTTAAACCCATTTTTCATAACTTGTGTTCTTTAGTACTTTATGCTGTTTTGAAATTTGGAGAAAAATATTTGTTGTTTCTGCTCTTTCTCATTGATTTGTCTGTTAAACATGTTTAAATCAATGCATTTCACTCGTATCTTTCCCCCCTCCCCTTCTTAAGATGATAAGAGTCTTCTGTCAAACTTCTCATTGTCATTTCTAACCTGTAATAGTGTCTTGTAATGTAGGGTGACTGATTTTCTCTTTGGGCTTTGTCTCTTTTTCCTTATCTTCTTTACCTTAGGCCTTAAATCTGATTTTTTTTCCCCCAGTGATCTGCAATCTTGCTGTGCCTCAGAGTCACATGTGAAATTTTGCAAATATACAGATACCTAGGTTACAAGTTTGGCATTCTGACTTGGAAATCTCTTATTTCTCAAAAGGTCCACAGATAACACTGTTTCACAACCATGAGTTGAAACCTATTGACTTAGTAATGTTACCTTATAGTCAGACAGATTTGAATGAGAGTTCTGATTCCATTATACTTATTTTTTAGTTGACTGATATCATCTATAAGTTGGAGTTAACATAAGTACTTGCCTTAGAAAATTGAGATTAAATAAGGTAATGTTTATAAACACCACAGTGATTTAGAATTCTTATTAAACATTGTCTACTAATAAGGTGGCATTCTTAAATTATCCTTTCTACAATAAAAATATTCACCCTTGCATTAGTGTATATTACCTTGGTCAGAAAATTAGTCTCATAAATACCACTCATAAAGGATACATGATAGCTAATTTTCATTATTTACCTTCCATTAGCAGAGTCTTCAAGGAGTAGGTAAACTGTGTATAATTTTGGCCCTAGGAGGAAAAAGGAAGAGGAAAGGTAGCTGGAAAACTAAATGTTTTTATTTCCTTCCTAGAAGGATTTTCTTCTTTCTCTGAGTTTAGCATTACTACCACCATCCATCCCCTAGTCACAGAGCCACATACTGATTGACTCTTAGGTACTTTTCTCCTGTTTCTTCTTTATCTTCATTCTCTCTTCATTATTCTATCCTCCTTTCAGAATGCCTTTAGTTTAATTGTGGCTCATTTGATCACTTGTACCCCAAATTTCTACATTTCTAAGCTATTACTGAAGTAAGGTCAACCTAAATTTCTGACCAACTGTCTCTCTTGTGTAGGCCTATTCCATACCAGGGGGTTAATTCATGAATATTGGGAAAGGTTTAGCCAAGTTTTTAAGCTTCTCAGCAAGGTTGTCACTGGACCCTTTGATCTCGTTTGTAACTTATACCTAATGGTCATAGAGCATAATAATGATACATATTATCATGAGAATAATAGAATGAAATTAATCTAATTTTGCTATATATAATAAGCTTTGTCGTTTGTATGCATGATTGCTTGCAACTTGAAAATTGAGGCTGGACCATTTATAGTAATAATTCATTGGCTTTCTGAAAGATTGAAAAATATCACAAAAGAGGTAGAATTTGAAGTAAATCTAAAGAATGGGTATGATATTTTTTTTTTCTGTAAGTAGAGGTAAGAGATTCTAGTTAAAGGGTGTGGCATGTGCAAAGGCTTGATGCAAGGAACATGAAAATTTTGAAGCACTGTGAGTAGATCATTTTTTGCTTTTTCAGAGGGTTTATAAATAATGGGAATAAAACTAGATAGTTTGGAATTAATCTTTGGAAATTCCTGAATGTTCAATTAAGATGTTTTGAGTTAGTAGGCCTTTGTATGCACTATAAATTCATTTAGTTTTCTTTAATTGACCTACATACAACTTAGTTAAGATTGCAAATGTTCAATGTGTCCTTATAAATGCTGGACCTGATTCATATAAATTGAAAGGTCTCCTTTCTACCTCAAGTGGTTATCCCTAAGAGTCAGCTTTCCACTACACCAGGCATTTACAACAAGAGTTGTAAATTCTTAAAGCTTTCTTTCTCTTTTACACTTTTTTTCCCTCCCTGCTTCACCCTTAAAAAAAAAAAAATTGTTGGACATGTATTTTACTTATAAGTTATAAGGCAGTTACTGACTTTCCTGTTTCTCTTCCTTTGCAGACCTAGAGGATCAAGACATAATGGGAGCATTTTTAGACAAGCCAAAGATGGAAAAGCATAATGCCCAGGGGCAGGGTAATGGGTTGCGATATGGGCTAAGCAGCATGCAAGGTTGGCGAGTTGAAATGGAGGATGCACACACGGCTGTGATCGGTTTGCCAAGTGGACTTGAAACATGGTCATTCTTTGCTGTGTATGATGGGCATGCTGGTTCTCAGGTTGCCAAATACTGCTGTGAGCATTTGTTAGATCACATCACCAATAACCAGGATTTTAAAGGGTCTGCAGGAGCACCTTCTGTGGAAAATGTAAAGAATGGAATCAGAACAGGTTTTCTGGAAATTGATGAACACATGAGAGTTATGTCAGAGAAGAAACATGGTGCAGATAGAAGTGGGTCAACAGCTGTGGGTGTCTTAATTTCTCCCCAACATACTTATTTCATTAACTGTGGAGACTCAAGAGGTTTACTTTGTAGGAACAGGAAAGTTCACTTCTTCACACAAGATCATAAACCAAGTAATCCGCTGGAAAAAGAACGAATTCAGAATGCAGGTGGCTCTGTAATGATTCAGCGTGTGAATGGTTCTCTGGCTGTGTCAAGGGCCCTTGGGGATTTTGATTACAAATGTGTCCATGGAAAAGGTCCTACAGAGCAGCTTGTCTCACCAGAGCCTGAAGTTCATGATATTGAAAGATCTGAAGAAGATGATCAGTTCATTATTCTTGCATGTGATGGTATCTGGGATGTTATGGGAAATGAAGAGCTCTGTGATTTTGTAAGATCCAGACTTGAAGTCACTGATGATCTTGAGAAAGTTTGCAATGAAGTAGTCGACACCTGTTTGTATAAGGTAGCTTGACTTTATTTTTTAAAACATGAAATGATTTTATGTCATATTAATTACTACTCTCATTTAATCATCTTAGAGCCTGTAGTTCTTAAAAATAAGTGTGTGGCACAATTGCAAGGTAATCTACCAATTATGAAAATATAGAAGTGACAACATAGGTAATTGGTTAATCTATTTCTAAATAAAAAGAAATAATCTATTTTTATTTAGAAATAGATTAACCAATTACCATATATGCAAGAGTTATAATCTAAATATTTAGTCTTTAACCATGATTACTTAAGCTTTTTAAAAATGTAGATGATTATCAAAAGTAGAAAGATTATTTTGAATTATGTGTTTTAAAAGAGTATGAGTGGGAAGGTTAAGCCTCAGTATCTATAAATGAAAAGCTTTTTAGAATATTTAGTATTTTTACCATGTGATACCTCAGAACATTTATGGAAGTACTTTGCATCTATTTTTAATGAATCTGAATCATCAACAAGGACTTTAGTGGTTATTTGGTGTGGTAATAGATATGGCCTTGCACATAAAGTCAGAAAAACTTATAGGATCATGTATGTCTTCAGGTAAGCTATTTAAACTCTCTGGAAAATCAGTTTTTTTTTTTGTTTGTTTGTTTTTTTTAATTGTAAAGACAGCTATTACCCTGTTTTGTGGGTTGTTGGGAGGATTGAATGTGATATGCGTAGACAAGCTAGCTTAGTCCCTTTATTTTAAAGTTGAGGAAGCTTAAACCAGAGAAAGTTCTGCGGACTGAAAGTCAAACAGAACTGGAATCAGGGCTTACCTGCATTATTTTTGTGCTCTTTAGTCTTAAACACATTGTTCAACCTCTCTCAGCTATAAAATATAGATAATAGTATCTAATTCATAGGACCGTTGGGAACTGTAATAAACAAACATACACACATAATTACCTAGTCTAGCATATAATATATACCCAGTTAATGTTGATTCCTTTCCTAGAGAAGTTATAACCGACCTCTACGGGATTATATAATTTAGTAACAGTATTAAAACTAGAAATCTAGGTCCTTGACTTAGGTTAAGTGTTCTTTGTACCACACTTTTTTTCTATTTTGTTGGTAATGATCATTAATTTATTCTTTGCTATATTTTTTGAAACAAATATTGATTTTTATAAAACTCTCTGAGGGTATATTTTGATTTTCTTTTAACATGCAGAAATAAAAAGTCAACAAAAAATTCTTTGTAGCTTTATATGCACACAGTCATGACACTCAACTTAAAATCCTAAAATCTGATTGCACTTAGAAATCAGGTTTATATAATATCCAACACAAAAGGCAATAGAGTATAAACTTCATAGTGCATGCTGTCACTTTCTCAATTGTGGGACTGAACAATGATTTAAGGTGCATGTATTGTCACTTAGTGTTCATGAAAGTAGCATTCTCTTTGAAAATTAAATGCTTATTAGCTAAATTTAAAACTTTTTAAGAATTGTTAGATAATTAGTAATTATGACTCAGATTCTACTTTATTTCTTTTATATTCTTCTCTACTTTAAAAAATTATTTGAGCCACAGCATGGTGGCGTATGCCTGTAATCCCAACAGGTCAGGAGGGTGAGGCAGGAGGATTCCAAGTTCAAAGCCAGCCTCAGCAACTTATCGAGGCACTAAGCAACTTAGTCTGACCCTGTCTCTAAATAAAATACAAAATAGGGCTGGGGATGTAGCTCAGTGGTTGAATGCACCTGAATTCAATCCCTGGTTGAATTATTTGTAGTTTTCCTCTAGGATTGTCTTTCTAATATTAGCTTGTTTGTATTGTTTGTGGTTTAATGCTATAAGGTCCATTTTTCCATCTAGCTGAATTAAATACTTTTAATTCCAAGAACTAATAGGAAGGAGGGTGTAGGGAAGGCAACATCAAGTGTTTTAATTACAGCAGTTTGAATACTTAGATGCCTTTAAAATAAATGTACTTCCTAAATTGTCAGTTTTTTAAAAAATATATTTTAGTTTTCAATGGATCTGTGTTTTAATTACAGCAGTTTGAATACTTAGATGCCTTTAAAAATAAATGTACTGCCTAAATTGTCAGTTTTTTAAAAAATATATTTTAGTTTTCAATGGATCTTTATTTATTTATATGTGGTGCTGAGAATCGAACCCTGTGCCTCACACATACTAGGCAAGAGCTCTACCACTGAGCCACAACCCCAGCCCCTGTCAGTTTTTTAAGTAGGGTTGAAAACTGCTGTATAAACTTTATATATGTAGTTTTACTTCTAATTCCATATTTCTACTTAGGAAGCAAATATGTTAGCCCCAAAACTTGTAATTATTTTACATGTAAATTTGTCAAATATACATATTAAGTATAGGCCAAATCCTAATTGTAAAGAATACCACTAGCATTTTCTGCCATGATGTATGGAGTAAACGTGGATGTTTCTGAATGTACGTATAGGTATCACTTCAAGTTAACTAAGTCACTAGTAAATATTTAAAAGTAATTTTGCTTTATAGAATTTTTAGAAATGATTATTATGTAGGATATTTCTTTTCTGTTTTTTGGCGGGTTGATTATACTGTACATTTAATGTGCTATATGAGGGCAACTGCCTTCCCCAATATACATATTTTTTTTCTTAAAAATAACATTTTCACTAGAATAAGTGTAACTGTAATTGGCATAGCTGTAAAGATTCTCAAGGCTTTGAAAGGAAAAAGGAAATCAAAATATTTCTCAAATTTTTCTTCCTAGGGAAGTCGAGACAACATGAGTGTGATTTTGATCTGTTTTCCAAATGCACCCAAAGTATCACCAGAAGCAGTGAAGAAGGAGGCAGAGTTGGACAAGTACCTGGAATGCAGAGTAGAAGGTGGATCATTTAACAAAAAATAAGTAGCTTTATTAAAGAAAAACCTTCAACACAAACTTTAACATTTTAGCTTTTAGAACTTTAAAAGCCTTTAACATTTAGTTTTTAGTGTGCAAAAATGAGAAAGGGCATTCTGTAGTAGATTTTAGAAGTATGTATGCAGTTGTCCTTCACATGTTAGAAATAGCAACTAGTCTATATATTCTGTTCAGGATACTTTTGTTTCAAAAGGCTAAAATGTTATGGGCTCTAAAATTCTTGAAAAATTTCACTGGCATAGTAATTTAATGCCAGGAAATTCTGATTTGTGGTTTGTTATATACATCTTTCTGTGAATAGTTGTGTATGCTAATTTAAAATCTCTAGTAGAAGTTTTTTTGTTTTTGTTTTGTTTTATAACTTGAAGGTCACAACCTGGTTATTAACAGTGTTCATATGCCAGAGCTTTTAAATTTTTGTTTTCATCTGTGTCATGGCTTCTTGTCTAAGCCATAAACTGTCTCACCTAAATAAGGTAGACTAGAAGACATATTTCTCTACTTAGCAGAAATGTAACTACTGAATAAAATACAGAATAAGTTAGGAATTCTAGGAATATATTTTTTATAATTCTGCAGATTATCTTGAAACAAATAGAAAAGTATTTGTACCTCTCAAGTACAATGCCTTTAAATATTTGAAAAATTTAATCTTGCGGGGACTGAGGTTGTAGCTTAGTGGCAGAGCGTTTGCCTAGCATGTGTGAGGCACTGGGTTCAATCCTTAGCACCACATAAAAATAAAATAAAGGCATTCTGTCCATCTACAACTACCAAAAATATTTTTTTTTTAAATTTAATCTTGGATGCAGCTACTACTTAGTGTAAACATTGTCTCCTCAGAGAATTTAATATACTGCATACATATAATAAGCATATAGATAATGCAGTTTCTATAAGCAGAAAAGCTTGATATGATTTATTGTAAAAAGTGCATTTTGGGCTCCTGATGTCACTAATTTGCATGTTAAAGACTTCTAATGGCATGCAAACATTGACCTACCACACTGTTATATCCCACAGTGCCTATATTATTAAAATAAGTATGCTCCTTAATTTGTTTACTTTTTTCTGTTTGATATCAGTCATAATCAGGCTGATATTAGAGTCATGATATATGATATTCTTAATTTTGATTTTTAGTACTGTCTAGAACTACTATTTTGTTTTTATTGCCTTCCTCTACTTGATAGTGATAATGTCTGTGTTTGTACTATTTAGTATTTCATTCATTGGACAAACTATTCAGTGCATTTTTTTCCTCACTTATTACCAATAGTTTTGGAATTTTTATGTTTTAAATTAATAATTTTATATAAGTTATTTATGGATAACAGTAAAATAAGTATTTAGAATGCTATGAAGTCATCAGCTTAAACTGCTGATTAGTGGGAAAATATGAAACTATAGTATGTATAGGGATAAGTTGGTTTTTAATGTTTTGGCACTTTAAAGTAAATTGGGAATACAGGCTTTTTATTAATTTAAAGAAATAAGTACTTTACTATTTTTACCATGAAAGAGATCAAATCTTAGAAATGCTGCTTTTCAGAATGTGCTCTCTAAAGTAAATTTTTGATTAATTATGAAGTATTCACTTGATATAATTTTGTTAGAATATTAATTTTTTATTACCTATTATCAAGCAAGAGTTGCCAACTGGACAGTTTACATTAATACTCAATATTTTGACATGTTGAAGTGTTAAAACTTGTACTATTTAATTGGAGATTATGTGTCATAAATATGATATTCTTAGGTAGATTTGCTGAGACTGCAGCTAGAGAATAAATATTACATTAATTTAAAAACTGCTGCTATTTAAAGACATAGAATGTAACTGTTTGCATTGTGAAAGATGTTGTGTGTCTTAAGTGAAGAAATACTACATTCAGTTTTCAAAATAGGCACAACATACCTTTTTTTCCCCCCTCTCTTTCCTTAAATATATGCCTTGACTAAATCATTGTGCCCTACTAAATCTGATTTTATTTGCTTTCAACATTTTTGGCATTTATGTCCACAACATAGTAAAGGGCAAAGCTTTTTAGATTCTACTTTCTTCTATTATTTATGTCCTTCTAAATACTTGAATGGGGGTGTGAAAGGATTCAGCACACTATTTAATCAAACTACTATTAAATTTGTGGTCCTTCTAAGCCAATTTAAAATTATACTTAATGTATCTATATTTTAAAAAACTTTGCTACTGACTATCTGAGTTTTAAAATTGCTAATTTGAATATAACTAATAGAATCCTTCAAACTTGATTGAAGGGGGTGGAAAGAAGAATGTGTTTGTACATATGTATATGAAACATGGATAATTCTATACATATATATTCTCTATAAAAAGCACTCAGTTTTTTTTTCAGTTCTAATTAAAATGTATAGTTCAAGAACAATTAAAGGAATATTTCTTAAAATTAATTTCTTTTTCTTTTTTAAGAAAACAGAAAGAAACAAGGTTAGTGTAGTATTAATGTTCAGGTAGTTTCAATGGATTATCCCATGCAGGAATAGGAGATATTAACTGTTTTTAAAGCCTTTCATTATTTTAAAAAAAAAAAGAATTTGTTTTTCTGTAATTTTTCTTCATAGTTAAAACTTCCTAACTTACATTTGAACAAAAATATAAGATACATCAAATATAGACGATTCAAAGTAATGTTTTTAAGACCTGAAACCATCATTGGTTGAATTTATCATCAGTGTTCATTTCTTTGTATCTAGTTATCTATCCACATAATTGTATTGGCTTAGTAGAGACTGTATGTTAAGTGTATTATAGTTTTAGATTGTGAAATTGTGTAGCTTAGGTAAACATCAAATCCCTTTATTTTTGTATAGCAGATTTCCAGCAATAGAATCATGTAGCATAAATAATATTAGATGTTAAAGATTACACAATAAAGGAACTTGGCAAACCAAATCTGAGATCCTTGCTTTTTGTTCAGACTTAAGACTGGTTTAAAAAAAAAAAAAAAGGCAAAAATAATAGATGGTAAATTTTGATCTTTATTCTAAAAGGAAAATTTGAACCATTTAAAGAAATTTTATGGGTAGCAATGTCTGTCTTATAATATGTGCCTTTATGATGAATTAATATTTTGAGGCTTGATCAAAGGATGAAAGATCTTTATATGCATTGTTATTTTCTAAGGTATTTACAAATGAAGAATTAAAATGATAATTTCTTGCCCAGTAAAGACAAAGAAAATATTGTTTTGCTATAAACATTGTAAAAACAAAAACTGAACAAAACTTTAACATATAACCTACAAAAAGCTTTGGCTTCACTTTGCATGTAGACTAAATAAGTGTACTAAAACTCCAAGTGAATACTTCTATACTTAGTTTTAGAGTTCTTTGTAAGGTTCTTCTTTGTTCATAGTTTTTGATATTCTGTGGTTAAGAAAACAATGCATCTGCATAACACTGCTATACCCATTGAATGATGTTTTGAAATTATTTTACATTCAGTAGTGCCATTTATTATATCTTTCTTTTTAAAAAAATTTTTGTCATGAAATTTAGACCTTTTCCATTCAAGTAATCAATGAAGGAAATGGTATTATGTATCTATACATTGGTCAAAGATATTTTAAAGAAAAATTGAGCTGAGAGTGATGTTCAAGTATATAACCTAATGTGCATGCTACTTCAGTATCATTTTGCAAATATAAACATATGATGTACAAATGATTTGGATTAGTATGTGATCAATAAATTTCCCATACTTAAAGATTATTTTTTTCAAATCTTGAATTCTTGAATTTTTGTTTATTTATTTATTTTTAAATTCATGTAATGTATTTTACAGGACAAAGTTCAGGAAAATATGTATCCAGTCTAAAGAGAGGAGTTGATCTCCTCAGAAGTAACTAGTTGGCATCCTAAGAAAGGATATCTTCATTTGTACACACATGTCCCTGATTATGTAACACACTAATTTAACATGAAATATTTTTTCTTTTTACGTTTTTATCTGATTGTTTACATTCTTTGAAGTTAAGTCACTTTTATCTTGTTGTGCATCCCTTTGTCATAATTTTCAAAGTCAGTTTGATTTTTTTTTTTAATGCTATACCAGTTTAGAATATCTCAGATATGGTAAATGCCATCTTTAGAATCTTAAGTTATTTTTGTTTCAGTCTTTTTTATTAATTAAATTTGGATAACACTTACAAAAAAAGTACTTCTGATTCCCAGAAATCATAAAGAAGCAGGGAGAAGGCGTCCCCGACTTAGTCCATGTGATGCGCACATTAGCAAGTGAGAACATCCCCAGCCTCCCACCAGGAGGTGAATTGGCAAGCAAGTAAGTTACATTCTTCACAGTGTTAGGCTTTCTGTTAGTATATGAAAATGTTATGTGTTCTTTGATCAAGTGTGTATTTGCTAATTTTTAAAGTAATGTATTTACCTATGTTTTCAAAATATTTAACCTGTGGAGTCCATATTTTAGTATAAGGATATTTGGTGCTTGTTTAGAAATAGACACCAGAATACTATTATTTGTAATTTATTATGCTGAAGATTGTCTTTAGTGGAAGATATGTGACATTGATTTTTCTCATAGATAATACAGGTGAAAAATTTTTGTGATTCAATTACATGGCACTACTAAAATCTGTTATTAGTAGTAGTAATGTAATTTTATTTTGTCAATCTCGAGACAAACTTAACACCCCAAAGATTTCTCTTCCACCATCTGAATCATGTATCTTTCATCTTCCCAGTTGTTTTTAGTTATTTATTGCTTGTTTGTTGGTTTGACTATCAGGGAACATGAGAGGATGCATTTTTTGCCTTTTTCCACTTTAATTCATAGAGTGGACTGATCTGTGGTAAATATTAAGCTTACTTCTGTACTTAAATTGGAGAATTCAAGCAGTTTTATAATGAAATGCTTAAAGCATTTTTACCTCAATTGTCCAAATAATTGACCCACAAAGATATACTATTGACTGATTTCCTTCATTTGTGACTGTATTTTGCAGATGTAGCCAATCATTTCACTAAATAATCATTGTAAAAGTTACAGTTTGTAGCTTTTATTTTTTGGAAACATATTTCATATGACTTTGTACAATTGTCTATAAAATTACCAGTTTTGGAAATAAGAAGACTGTAATTTATAAGGAATATTATAGATTTTTTAATGAAAATATTATTCAAAAGCAAATTCCTAGATTTGTCATGGAAATGTCAAATTTGACATTTTGGGTTTTAATAGAATTTGTTTTTAAAGGGACATTAAGAAAAGCATAATTTAAACATAAAGTTTATGTGAATTATTTTTATCATAACATTGAAGTTACTTCTACTTTATAACTTATTTTATGCCTTAAGATTGGCATTGCCATTGGTGACTCAGCCTCTAATTCAAATGGAAGTTGACCATATAGCCTTTGTTAATTTGGGGAGGATTTTTATTGCCTTAAGCCATGATTCTCAGTCTTCTATTAAGTGGGTTGGTGGGATGCTGCATTTTTTTTTTTTAAGTAAATTCACCTCTAATTTAACATTGGTACACAAATATCCTAAAGTGAGGCTGGCTTATTGACAATAGAAATGAAACTAAGTGATTTATACATGTATGATTACCATTGAAATTTTAATGAACACCTGACTATGAGTTTTTAAGCATTGTTGTACTTTCTGAAAAATTAATTTTCTGCATTTTTTTCAAATTTAGGCGGAATGTAATTGAAGCTGTTTACAATAGACTGAATCCTTACAAAAATGATGACGCTGTAAGTAGCATATTAGCTCCCTCTGCTTTTCCTTCCCCTCCACTCTAAATGCATATCCTTCCTACCTGTTTTTGCAGAGCTGTTCACTGCACCCATTCTCTTACACACACCCCTGATTGATTGCTCTGAACTCTGCTTGCTCTGATCTCTGCCTGCACCACAGTACTAGTGATTGAGGACATAATCTTGGTGAGTGGCCACCTCTCAAAAAAGAAGTTCCTTTGATTTTTTTTTTTTTCTGGTTTCTTTTCAAAGCCTCTACAGTCAACTTCAGAAGGTTTGCCTCCACCAAATTTTAATTTATAATTGGGATAATATTTCTACTCAGAATCTTGAACTAATCTGAGTTATAGCTACGACAGAACTTCAGAACGTTCTACTAAATAGTTTTTATGTATGGAAATACTTTTGTCTGAAATTCTGAAGTATGTTCTTCATTTAAATATTAGAGAATTCTGTTTCTATAAACAAACATTAGAATGCCATATTCTCCAATTAAGTTTTTATTTGCAATTCTGTTATAATATGATGTTTATAGGAATATGATAACTTGAAATCATTTGGACACAGCTCTGAAATAGTTTATGTATTACATTATGAAGCTTGCTAAAACCTCATTATTTGAAGTGTTAATCTCTTATGATGTAATAAAAGTTTATAAAAGCAGTGTTAAAAAAAGATTGGATCTTATCAAAGAAAAGAGTCCTTTTTTATAGTTGTATTGATTTAGTACACATTTGGTCAACCTCACAGTAAAATCATTCCAAATATTTTTCTGAAATAAAATGGAAGATTAATTCTTGGAACAAAATAAATATTCATATTTCATATACACACTTACATACTTTTAATATGATGTTCTAAAAGACAGCTTTACAAAACCTTATCTTTCTTGCACTTCCAGATGTAGTAAAAACTTTGGCATCTTTAAGCTTTTATTTAGTACCTTGTTTTGTTTCCTTTTATAAAGGACTCAGCATCAACTGATGACATGTGGTAAAACTGCTCATCTAGCCGTGGAGTTTACCTTCACTTCCAAAGGAGAGTGCAACTCAACTTTGTTGAACCTTTTAGCATCCAGCCTCAACTTAAGGAAGGGGATATGACATGGGTGAGAGTGATTACACCAGAGAACTTCAGCAGTACAACAGCTAGCCCAGAACTGATTTTCTTTTCTTTTTTTTTTTGTAAATTTGAGACTTATGTAAACGTGATTTCAAACCATAATTCATGTTGTAAATCAGACTCCAGCAATTTTTGTTGTATGATTTTTTTTTTGTAAAGTGTAATTGTCCTTGTACAAAATGCTCATATTTAATTATGAACTGCTTTAAAATCACTATCGAAGATACAAGAAATGTTGGCTTGTTGTGTGATGCAACAGATATATAGCCCTTTCAAGTCATGTTATATTTGGATTTGGGGTTGGGACAGGGAGAGCAGCAGCCATGTCAGCTAGGTGCTCAAACATGCACATGATTATGGAGAAGAATTTCAAAATCTTACAAAGCTGAATATCCCAGGAGTGATGGAAAACTATCTTAATGTTCTTGGCAAGGGATTGGCATTGTTGATAAAGCCACTCTCTTTATTTTACTGTGTTTCAGGATGTTCTCTCCTTGTTGCTATGAGTATTGCAGGTAATACAGTATATTCATAAGAATATCAATCTTGGGGCTAAAATGCCTTGATTCTTTGCACCTCTTTTACAAGTCCTTACATTTAATTACTAATTGATAAGCAGCAGCTTCCTACATATAGTAGGAGACTGCCACATTTTTGCTATCATGATTGGCTGGGCCTGCTGCTGTTCCTAGTAAGATATTCTGAATTCCATTTTATCAATAAAGCTTGATTTAACAAACAAGAAATTTAATCATGTATGTGTAATTCCTCTTTTACCCCGGCCTTTTAAACACCATACCATTGTAAATGAGATGTTCTCAAAGGGAAAGATGTTAGTCTCTTTTAATTTGACAATACTGTTTCAGTCACCAATGAAATTGTTTTCCTTCCATTAGAAAAACTTAAAAGATTTAAGTCTCTCTTGTTCTTTAATTTGTTTTTCAAAATAAGTTTCTTTCAGGCTGCTTACTTTTCATTAAGATGTACATCAGCTTGAATTTGCCTACTGTTTAATTAAATAATTGTCAAAGTTTGACAATCTAACACTCTATGGTAGGTATGTGTGTGTTTGTGTGTGTTTGCCTGTGACTTTTAATTGGCCCATGTCTTTAGAATCCAAGTGGTTAAGATGTATTTGTGATTTGAAATATAGCATGTTGATAATATTTAGCTGTTGGCCTTTAAAAATAAATTTCAAAGCTTAAGGAATTGTAGATATAAACCTAATTTAATTTAGGCTTAAATTTTTCTGATTAAGCATGTGAAAGTTTTACAATCTGTCACATTGAAAAGACTACTGTTCTGTGCCCTTTTGTATTTTTGTCTTTCTAGGTTGAATATTGTATTTATTATCATGTAAATGAATCAGTTAGTAAGCAGATTCCCCACTAGAAAACTACTAAAATGTAAGATTAAAATACAGCATTAAATACAAAATCAGAATTTTGTGTATAAAGCTAGTATAATACATTTTGTTTTGTTTGTTTTCCCTAACTTGGAAATATACATATTTGTATATATAGCCTTAAAACTAATGTAAAGTTAGGGAACCTAGTAGGAAAAGTAATGTAAAATGTTTCAGATTTAAGTAGTTACATACCAGCAAACTCTTTTCAATATCCCTCTTATTTGTGAGGTGATTAAATGTAATTTAATTGTATTTAATTTATCTCTTAATCCAGCATGAATGAAGAAAAATTGAAGTACTATTTATATTTAGAAATTCAGAAAAGTTGGAATTACAGAACCAATTCCTTACTTAACTTACAATAAATGCTTAATGTCTAAATCTGTGGTAAAGTGCGAAGTATGATAATGTTCTAAGTTATGACTTTGCAAGCATTTAAATTTGCACTTAATGAATACCAGTGCTTCTAGTGTAGATTTGATTACCAAACATGCCAGTACTGAAAGCTAACCTCCCTATTACAACAAATCAGTTCCTTAACTTTTTAATAAATAACCAAAAGTTTTTAGTTTCATAATTTGCAAAATATTTAACTGGATTGTGGTATCTTTTAGATGTAAAACTTGAACCATAAGTAAAACACGTGATGGGAAGCTATATTTCAAACCATAATAGCATAGCATATTATAACTTTTTTTTGGGAGTCTTTTAAACAAAAGAGAAAATTAAGATACTCCTGTTAAAGTTTTTAATATTGAAATTGGCTGGAAATGTGAGAAGACTGTGTTTAAATGTGATTTTAAGAAGACTAAATCTTTTCCATATGAGTCAACACTGCCGTACAAAATATAACTTTCCATTTTAAAAATACAGAAAGGAACTTTACATTGTACTAGCAGACTGCTTGACTCCTAGGGGTAATGGTCATGGTGAGAAACAACCACATTTAAAAGGCATTTTTGCACCTCTTCTGTGCACTTCATTTTTGTACCTCTTGAATTCTCAGCCCCCACTGTTTTTTTAATACTAATTAGCATCTCAGGGCATTGCCTCAGAATTTTTGGTGTATTCTATGTTTTCTTTTTTGGGGGGGAGGTGGTTCTTATCTGAGGATATATAGATTTATTAAGATTAAATTTTCATTTAGATATCATATTATGATAAACCCAGTTTACTGCTGTTAACCAGAAATTCAGTTTTGTATAGCCAGATTCTTACTACCTAACATTAAAATATTTCACTTATCTAATTCTTATTATTTTAACAAGATCTCCCTAATTTTTACCTTCTTTAGGAATATACTTTTAAAGATAACAGAAGCAGTTCTCAGTATTATCTTTTAAAAATTAAATCAAAGTGGTATTTTTCTTATTCAGTTTTAAAACTATCCTCAAACATTTTTAATTGTAACCATTTATTTCTAGAGAACTATGCAATTGTTCCAGCTTAATTTTTATGCAAACGTCATAACATTAAGAAATTTGGATTAGAGAATATATCAGTTATATAATTCAAATAATCCAAATTATAATGGTCATAAATTTGACCATATATTAATCTACAAAACACTGATCTAGGTTAAATTCCTTAGGACTGTAAATAGATTGAATGGGTCATTATCTTCAAGGAGTTTGCATTTGGGCAAAATTAATAACCTAAAGATATGTTAGTATTATAACTGGATCACTCATCAAAAAATATATATATATATATATACACATATATATATTTTGCCCACCTTCTGTTTGTCAGGTACTTTACTGAGCAAAAGGTATGCTTCTGCCCTAAAGGGCTCATTTTGTTGCTTTTATTCACCTGAAAACTATTGTTTCTTTTCTCTTCCCCAAAGTTAAAAATCTCAAAAGAAAATTTAGCTCCGCATAAGAGTAAAATTGGACTGATGAAGCTCACTTATTCTGTTGGCAGTAGCAAGTCAGAAATAAGTCATAGATTTCTTAGAATTTTCCAATCCTGAGAATATAGGTGGGATTTGAAGGAGGGCATTTAAAAAAATAAGTATCTCTAGCTAAATTGATCTTGTTTAAGTAAAACTTTTTTGTGTTCTTTCTTTTAATAACATAGTGCCCGTGTTGATACCACATTTTAGCCAAATGATTACCATTAAGTAATCACTAACCATCTTTACTGGACAAATTCATCTGGGAATTCAATGTGTGATTTCTGAAAGAACTGATGAAATTGGGTACTAATTTCCTTCTAGTTTTATTTTAATTTTGAATTTCATGGCATATACTTTTAGCTCAACTTTGTATTTTAGTATTGTATTAGGATTTGGTACTAGAAAGGATAAGTAAACATTTCAGTATATAAATATTTATTCTTTGGGTTTCTTAGGGAGTTTCATATACTTTTGCTTATAAATACTGCTGATCAGTTGGCCATTTTTTAATTGACTACTCACAGTTTTTAGGCATCAGGAAGTCTACTTCATGTTTTAAAATTTTAGAAGCCTAATTTTACTTTATTTCCTTAAATAATGTGCCATGTGTTTTGGTTAGTATTTGTTTTTAAATTATATATTCAGAGAGTATGCTTGAAATATTTAAGAACACATTTCCTAAATGTATGATACTGTATTATTTGGTCAAAAAAATACATCAGCTAAGTGTTAGTTATTACTGTTAAGAAGCTCTTCAGAAATAAGGAGAGGCATTGGCTCTGCTTTATTGTCAAGTGAGCATTTCCACTTTTGTTCACCTCAATACAAACTCTTCCTTTAATCTATTTTATATATTAAGCTAGTGGCCTCTGCTCTCATGGTTTCCTATTTATATTAACTAGTGGATGGGGGTGCTAATTAGAAAAACTCAGATTCAGATTGCAGTTGACAGCTTACACTTTTATGAGAGGGGGGAAAAGGTTGTTTAATAAAAAAGTGACATTTTTTCTTATCTTGCATGAAAATATTGCCCTCATTTCCTCTCAGTGTGTCTGTCTGTGTCTCTCTCTCACTACCACCACCCCCATTTTTCCCTGCCCCTCATCCAAATAGGCCAATTCCATTTTCTTGAACAAGAAAGTTTAAACTCATTACCTCATTAAGGCCAGTTAGTACTTTATTAAACTGGGTTGAAAATAAGAAAACTTGGGATAGAGTGATAAGAACCTTGACCTGGCTGTAGATGTTTAAAAAAAAAAAAAACCAATAATGCCACATAAGCCACCAAGAATCACCTTTCACTGCTAGAATAATTTTGACTTTTTAAAGGAAGATGAAGGTAAAAGTTGCTGATTCTTTAACGCAGAATAACATGCAGTATTTCTTTACGTTAAAACAGCCCTTCAGTTCTTTTCATTGTTCCTAAAACCAGTTTTCTACTAATGGGTTTTTCATTAAATGTTTAGAAAATTTTTCTTTTCCTTTTACATAGTCCTCCTAGTAAAAAAGTGTTTAGGGATATTTGCATTTGTATGGTACTTTCTGAAGTAAGCTAGATTATGTGTAAGATTGAGTAGTTACAGAATTAGTACTGTCCTAACTCGGTACAATGAGTGACAGAAATTCATTTTAGTAATGGTTCTTAACTTTTTGGGAGTTGTTGTCCCTTTGAGACAGATGAATCATGGGGAAACTCCCTAAAAATTATAATGTTGCAGTGGTTCATTACTCCTCAACCCCAATTAAGATTCCAAATTACAGAATAATAGGAAATCATTTTTTCTCCTGCATAGTCCATAAAAATATTCCAAGGATGTAAATATAACTTGAGTCTATTTTAAGGAATTGTTTTACTTTGAAAATAGCAAATAAGGTGGATGGGGCATGGTTTGAATCTGATATTGAAAGACTTTCAGCGAAAAGAGTTAGAGATGAAAAAATCACATTTGGATTACTTTTGAGAATAATATCTCTTAAGATTTGCCACTTTTGAAATTCAACAGAAAGGTAAAATGGAAATTGAGTGTATCTAAAGTTTTCTGAACCTCCCCAGTGCAGCTGTAATATATTAACAACACAATAGCTGTCATGTCTTACTCAGGTTTTAAGATTTGATTTTTCTTGCATTAGAGTTCATTAAATGTTAAATTCATTTCAGATTCTAAGGAATTAAGGACTTAATACAAAATGTTAAAAACAGGATCTAACATGAATAGCCACCAATGTATACATTAATAAGATTTTAAAAAAATAATTACAATAAAAAATTTTATGAAATTGTTGACACTTGTTGAAAAATTGAATGTTCAGTTACAGTTTTTATTGTCCATTTTTGGAATTTCCCCTCCCCCTTTGACAGGGCTAGGGATCAAACCCAGGGCCTTGTATATGACAGGCAAGTGGTCTACCACTGAGCTGTAGCCCTAGCATTTTGGGGACTTCTGAAATGTAGTAACTGTTATCTTACCTAGTTGGTCATTGACTAACTGAACATGTTATCTGTAGGAAAATATCATCTTTTAGTGACAATATCCCAGTTATGATCTGTTTTACAACTGAAATAATTTCACTTCATTGTATAATTGTTTTGAGGGGGAAGACATGTACATGTTAAAAGCATGTTGAATTTTATATAGATTGTTTAAAATCTCTAAATATAAGACTATGACAACTAACTGCAGAAATTTTCTTAAACACAATGTGTAGCAAAATTCTCCACATTAACTCATCCACTTTGCAGGTTATATGATCCAAACTTTCAAAGAAAAATCCATAAATGTGTATATTGTATGATGTATCATTTTCTGATCCAAAGAAATATGTGAATTCAGTTTTAACTTTAAGAATGTACTTTTGTTTTCAAGTCCTTTGAAGAAATTGCATTCAGCCTATGAATGGTTGCAGATTGTATGTGAGATGAAAAGTAGAAATAATTTCTAGTTTGCAAAACTGGTGCCACTAAATAAACAGGCAATTGCATAATGCGTGTGTATTTATGATTGTTTAATATCCTAAGCAGCATTTTTGTTTAACTGAGAAACCTGGAAATTTTGAAAGTAATTATTGGAAGGTCTTAAGAGGATTTTTTTTCAAGTGGGTAAATTTGCCAAAACGATAAATCTGATAGTCAAAACGTGAACTAGACTTGTTTATTCCTAATTTAGGAAGATTACTGAAAGCCAAAAAGTTTGGGTTGATGGTTATTGTCATTAAAACATTCCAGAGATAAAGAAGCCAGTAATTGTTTCTTTTAGGCAAGAATATTTTTATGCCTGTCTTCTAGCACATGATATATTTCTTACTTCCTTGAAGAGTTGAGACAGAAAATTGGGAATTGCCTGGGAAAGGTCTTCCTCACCCAATATCCAAGATGTAGTGCCTGCTTATATAATAGCACTTAAATTCGTGTATGGTTAGAGTGCAGAAGGGAGGTGTTTTCTGCCTCTACTAATTCTGATAATTGGTTATATAACATCTGTCCTTTGTTCATCCACGTCTGAAAGTGACTTAGGTTTTGTTAAGTCTGATCTTCACTTACATAATTAGAGACATCTAAGAATTGAACTGGTGATAACAGTGAAATTCTATGAGCTGCAAGAGCTCATTTTGTTTATTGTAAAATGTATAATGAAAACGATAATCAGGCATAATAACCAAAGATAGCAAGACCTATAACTCATTAAAGTTGAGACAAATAAGGATTTGTTGAATTTATATGTAATTTGTACGTCTTATATTCTGCAGTTTTGTTTATGATTTTTGTGTTAGGAATTTTTACAGGGAGAGTTGTAATTTTAAGTGTTGGAGCTATTTTGTTTTTTGTCTGTTTCAGTTATGTTTTATCTTAATCCATTACTGAAAAACTAATACTTGTTTTCTAATTGTAAATAACTAATTGTTTTTCCATGTTCTTGCTTAAAAGCTTAGATTGACCTTCCCATCAAATCAAATTTGATGCTAGTTGAAAACTTCATTCTTCGATGAACTACCCTAGAAAACTTGGTTTGTATGCTCTCTGTAGAACTTACTTAATTTACCACAAAACCAACCACTTGACCAAATACTGATAAAAGATTTTGTTTCACTGGCTGCCTTTTATCTGCATAAGATTCATATTTATTGGTTCTGATATCCTGTATAAGGTGATTTAGAGTATCATAAAAGCTTTTCAAAGAATTGTATTTCATGTTAATAATTGTATTGTTACCTAAATAGTGGATGTGTGTCGTTCTCTACTGTAGGTTAGGAATAGGCATGATTCTTCCAGACCAAAGCATCCCCTGTGGCTTTTCTTATAGTTACACAGTAAAATCCCTCCACCCCCCGAAAAATTTTCCAAAGACAATTCCCAATATCTGGCCATTTTTGATCTATAAAACTGGAAGTTTTATCTATAAGAGTGTCCCCTAAGAATCAGATGACAGATCTGAAGAAAAGTACTGTCTCTCTCACTATATTATACTACATATATTTATTTATTTGAAAACATGAAATTTGATAATATGCAATGCTAAATTAGGTCAACATGCTGCTTAAATCAGTGTGTGAAATGTTATCCAGTAGTGACTATGAAAGGAAACGATTATTTAATTTAAATGTTCAGAGCAAGATTATAACAATAAAGATTGGATAGGAAAGTAATTTCAAGAACTTACTTTGAATTGCATAATTAAGTGAGGTAACTGGAATGTTCCCTTCTAATATTTTATTGGAACGTAGAGATATATGGATCCAATTCAGTCTATGATAGAGGCAGCACTGAGGAATTATGTGAAAATAATTGTTCTTTAAATGTAGTCCTTGCAAAGCTGGCTGAGGGCTCTTTGTTCCAGGTGTCAAACTCTGACTTAAGCTATGGGCCATGTTGTAGCCTTTCTGAAGATTTATCATTATTATATTTTGCTATTTATATTTGTCTTGGTAACAACTGACTTAAATTATGTAGTATTTAAAAATCCAGGGTTTACTCAGAAGAATTTGTGACTGTTCTGGGTCAGCAAGGTCATATGTGTACCTTCCATTAGTGTACTGAATTCATCCATGGATTGTCTAATTCTCATTATAACAATTTTAAATGTGTATTTGATTCTGTGTAATGAAAATATTTTTGCAAAGATTCATCTTATAGCACAGTTATTCTCAATTATTTACAATATTGAAAACTTTTTAACTAATAAGTTTCCATTCCTAACAAAATTTTCTAGTGAGTAAATATTATAGAGGCATATAGGAAATGACTTCTTGTCATTAGGCATAGCAAGTAAACATCCATATAATCCATGTAAATTTATACATTTCTTGATGTATTTCAACAAATACCCTTCTGCAACAATCCTTAATAAAAGTGGTCTTAGCATTTAATAAAGGCAATGAAACTGCTTTTGTGCCTAAATCACAGGAAGTTTACAGAATGCTTTCTTATTTTGTTTTGTTTCCTTTGGTTTTGTTTTAAATATATAGGTTCCCAGACTACAAAAAAGTCCAGAATCATCAAATTCTTCATCCTTTCATACTGTAAAGGTTTGTTTGCCATGTACTCTATCCTGATTTTTGCAACATGTTATATATTGGCCCAACTGTTGAATGACAGTATGGTTTTAAGTATATTTACATGTACATGTATAAATATCCATGTTCAAAGTCAACTCCACGGTGACTGTCAGTAGTGTTACTAGTTCACCTTAACCTTCAGAGAGTTTTTCCTGCTTCAGGACCAGATGGATCTGGCATCTGACAAGACCACAATATCCTTAAACACTTCATCCCAAGAGGAGCAGGGTTCCAACAAAGAAACTTCCTGTGGGCAAGTCTTCATAACTTGAGATAAGGAAGAATGGAGTAGCAGTTTTTGAAGATCACATGATTGGTTCTGTGAATCTGTGGGAATTTTCTTGATACTTTAATTTATAGAATGAATGTCATTTTTTTCAGAAATCAATTGTTCAGGTATAAAAATTTGAGTACTTCATGTAAAAAATGATTGTACTTTAAAGAAAATTCTATTTTTCTGAAATTCAAAGTGATATGTAGGGCACCATATATCATCCTTATGTTTTATAGGAATCACTGTTGTGTTACTGGTCGGTGCAGTAGTCATATCTCCTTTCCTCCCACAGTATGGCTTTCTTAGACCCTTCAAAGGGTCTGAATTAGGGGGATGAAGGGATGGTGCGATATCAGCTGTCAACCATCACTGTTTGATTAGAAAAGGAATTGAAATGAGGTTATAAGGATACAGATTTTCTTTGTTATCAGTTCCCCAAGTTCTATGAAGCAGTGGTTCTAGCCCTGCCCTCAAGATTGATTGATCTGGAAAACTTTAAATATCCTTTTGCAGTGAAGGTTGGAAGGGTCACATTAAAAGTTGCCTTCTCTTCTTCCCCAGTGACTCCCTGCATCCTCCTTTACCCTCCTTGGATCATGTCACTCTTCTTTTTGGACCCCTGCACTGGCTACCATTTCACTCATAAATCCCAGGTCCTTATAGTAGCTTACAGAGCACCCCACATGAGACCTTGTTTCTGTGATTTCTTTGACTCATCTTCCTTACTCTTTAACCTCACTAGTATCCTAGCTGTCCCTGGAACATATATGTCTCACTCAAAACACTGAGATCTTACCAATACTTAGATTTACTGTTCCCTACTCAAATTTTAATTGTTTAAAGCAGGTCACATGCAAGCTCACAGACCTGAAAGGACAAGCCCTAACCACTACCAGGGACAAAGCATACACTTGAATAAAACTATGCTTTGTATGTGGAGAAAATGAGACTGCCACTGTGTGTGTGCACCAGGAGATGGTCTTTTTTGAACTGTGACATTTGAGATACGTGGTGGAAGCAGAGGGGCTGGGACATGTGAAATGGGTCACATTATAAATGCTTATAATTATGAAGAAAGTGTTCCTGATAACTGAAGAAGTGGGGCCACCTAGCTTTGGGTGAGCTTGGATTTGCCTGGGCACAGACAAGTAGGAAGTCTCCCCTCCGGAGGAGGACAGACAAGCAAAGGAAGACATTGGGCAGAGATGACAGCAGTGACCAGTGACGATGCTGGCCTTACCAGGAAGTTTCTACCTTTAGAAAGAGGGCTTCAAGGGCTGAGAGATTTAATAAAGGTACATCACAAAAGTCAGCTGTTATGTCTTCATACTTGGGATTGAACCCAAGAGCACTCTACCACTGAGCTACATTCCCAGTCCTTTCATTTATTTTGAGACAGGCTGACCTTGAGCTTGCAATCCACCTGCCTATCCTCCTGAGTCACTGAACCCACTTGAAAACAGCTTTTCACTGAAATTTGTAGACACCCCAGTAAGAGTGGCCTTTGCTTCTCTCTAGTCAGCTTTCCCCTCAAATCCAGAAGCACTGTAATACATGAAGGAGTTGCTCTTTGTGTCTACACCACTCAGTGTCGTGCTGGCCCACACCTTAATAGTCATTAAATCATTCTGGCTGACTGCTGAATCAAGAACACTGACCTGTTTACAGCCTCCACTTGGGTGGAGTGTGGAGTGTTCTGGAGCTCCTGAAAGAGACAGGAACTGAGTGGGCATCGATTCTGGCAGAGCAGGTTCTCCGTGAAGTGGATGAACTTCACAATCACAGTACAGCAGCACTTCATTGGCCTGCCTAGCAGCTAGCCGGCATGCGCCAGGAGCTGTGGTCATTTGAACTGTGCACTTGGATTCAAGTGCATGGGAGCAGAGAGCCTGAAGCCTTATGAAATGTTGTCAAGGTTTCCCTACTGCTGCCACTGACCTCTACCGCCCCCAGGCAACCGTCATTCCTCGTTCTTCAAGGTTCTTAAGTTGGACAGCAAATGTTTTATCGTTTTAAATTTTAAAGTAGCTCTGGTTTATTAGCAATTTATTACTAAAATGACTATTGATTGTTGGGTGTTTATTTTTGAGCTGCTTCTAAAACACAAGTTCCTTTGTCCTGAATGTGATGATCTAGATAGTCTCAGGACTATCAGAAAATTTCCCTCCCATACTAAAGCAGCAACCTACACTAGTGGTAGCTAGGTCATGAATCAAACAATAATGAATTCTTGGTGAACATGATTCTTTAGAAGTTCTCTGACTGAGTTTAAGCAACAAAACAAACTCGGTGAGCACTCTGCTCACATAGTAGATCCCTCACCTTACAGCCACTGCAGCTGTCCTCCCCAATGTTGCTGGGGAGAATCATTAACCAATATCAAATAAAACCCTTTCGTTGTTACTAATCCCGAAATGTGCCACAGGGCAAGCTGCTCCTGTCAGAGGCCTCTCACTGCTATCCACACCTGCAATTTTGAGTTTCTGTCTTTGAGACTTGGCAGGCAGTTCCCTTAAGAACTGGCTGCTGTCTCAACTGTCCCCTACTGTGTGTCAGTAGATGTGTGGTATGTGGTCTTCAGTGTTATCATCTCTAGATGATGGTTCCTTATTTCTGAGGTACTTCTGGGAATTTTATTTTTTGCCTCAGAGCCTGTAAACCTTAATCCTCCAACTTTGGGGACAACTTTTAAAACTGTTTTTTTTAGTTTTGTTTCTCAGGAAACACCAAAAGTCTGTTAGGTGGTATAGATTATTGTACAAATTGAAGAATGTTAATGAATTATACTGTTTATCTTATCATTATTCAAAATACACTATAAGAGAAGTCTTTAAGCTGAAAAAGGCATTTAGCAAACTTTTTTTTGGTAGGGGGTGGTGTTGGTGGTACTGGGGATCAAAACCTAGGGACCCCTTCCATACCAAGCACATGCTGTACTATGGAACCACATCCCCAGCCCCTCCAAACATCATTTTTCTTTTTCTTCCACCCTCCACTTTTGTTACTAGGAATTGAATTCACAGGGACTTGACCATTGAGCCACATCCCCAGCCCTATTTTATATTTTATTTAGAGACATGATCTCACTGAGTTGCTAAGCCCCTTGCCATTGCTGAAGCTGGCTTTGAACTTGCATTCCTCCTGTCCAGCTTCCCAAACCACTGGGATTACAGTCATATGTGCCCAACTCCCTCCAAACATCTTTGATCAACATTATCTATTCCAATTAACTTCCCAAGGAAGGTCCCATCAGCTTTATTTTTGTCATTGTGATAAAATACATAACAAGGTTTACCATTTTAACCATTTTTAAGTGTATAGTTTAGTGAGATTATAGAGTGGTCATCACTCTAAACAGCTTTCATCACCCCAAACAAACTGTATATACATACTAAGGAGTAACTCCCCATTCTTTCCTCTCCTCAGAACTTGGTAACCTCTATTCTACTTTCTGCCTTTAGGAATTTGCCTTTTCTAGATAACTCCAGATAAGTGGAATCATATACTATTTGTCCTTTTATTTTTGATTTGTCCCATTAAATTCCTAATTGTTGATTCTCGTTGACCAGCAATTAACTTTTACATGCCCCACTCGGAATAATGTTTTCAAGGTTCATCAATGTAACATATAGCAATTTCTTTTTTAAAGCAGGATAATATTTCACCATATGTACTTACCACAGTTTTGTCCATTCCTCCACTGAAAAACACATGAGCTTTTTCCACCTTTGGCTATTATGAATAATGTTTCTGTGAACACTTGTAGGGAGCTGCTATTTTATATTACCACCAATAGTAGATGGGGGTTCCAGTTTCTCGCCATCCTTGTCAATAATTATTTTCTTTTTAATAATAGCTATTCTAATGCAGTGGCATCTCATTGCATTTCCCTAATGTTGAGTCTTTTTTTCATGTGATTTTTAGCCATTTGAATATCTAGAAGTCTTTTTTTTTTTTAACCCCCTGCCTTTTGCAGTCCTGAGAATCAAACCCAGGGCTCCACATATATTGGGCAAATGCTCTGCCACTGAGCCACAACCCAGTCCAGTTCTTTGCCCATTTTAAGTGGGGTGTGTGTGTGTGTGTGTGTGTGTGTGTGTGTGTGTGTGTGTGATAGGAGTTCATTCTGCTTTCTGAATATTAATCCCTTACAGAAATGTGATTTGCAATAATATTCTGTGGGTTACCTTTTTATTCTGTGGAGATAATATCCTTTTATGCTTACACACAAAGTCTTTTTAATTTTGGCAACTTCCATTTTTTTTTAATTATCTGTGCTTTTGATGTCATTCTTGGGAACTATCTTTGCCTAATCCAGGATCATGAGGATTTTCACCTATATAAATTTTTAAGAATCACATAGTTTTAGCTCTAAAATTTAGTCCTTTGGTCCACTGAGTTAATGTTTTTATATGATGTAAGAATCCAACTTAATTCTTTTGCACCTGGATGCTCAGTTTTCCCAGCACCATTTGCTGAAGACAACATCATCAACTTTGGACAAAGTTTGGAGACAAGAAGCTTGCAAACTACTACTTCTCTCTTCCTATTACCTAGCTAGTGAGGATCAATTCTGATTCCTGCTGATAACAGCACCTGCACTAACCATTTTAAATTCCTAATCAGCCAAGACTAATAGTTTCTTTGGTTGTTGTTGACCAGCAATTAATTTTTTTCATTTGTGTCTTCCCCAGAAGAGTGGTCAGTGGCTGTGAGAACTGACTGCATAAGGCATGGATCAGTTAGGGTTCTTTGTTACCAGGGCTCTTTGATTTCTCACTTCAGCTAAAGTAAGCAAGACAGTGAAACTTTTAGAAAATCCATTAGGAACTGGCAGTCTTATAGAAAACTCAGGTTGGAAATGGGTAGGAGCCAAGGCAATTAGAGGAAAGATATATCCTTTGGGTTTTTAGACACCAAAATTGTGTGAAGCACCAAGACCACACATACTGGCATATGAGAGAATCAGTGTGCATTTAGGAAAAGATGAATGTTGGGCAACAATCTGTGGCAACAGTCTGCTGTGCTCCACCTTGTTTTCTCAGTATCCATACATGTCATTTACCAAAATGCTCCAGGCTCACATAGTGCAATTTTGAAAAATGGAAGAGCCCACCCTCCCCACCCACCCCAAGGGAGACAACACACAAGTGTTGACAATTCCTGTTAGGACATCTCTATGATGTGGACCTGTCACAGACCCACTCAGTAATGTATATTAACAGCTCGTAGGCAAGTAGGGGGAGAATAAGAGAAAATATCTGAAAACTTCCATGAGTGCACACCACTATTTTTATCAGCAACACAATTTTCCCTCATGGTATGTATGGGTCACTCCTCCCAGCCGCTGCATTTTATTCAAAATACTC